CCGACTCGCTTAATTGCAACTTTTATAGACAATATTCCGGCTGTCTTGCGACTTGGCTGCAATTGCAGCTCTGAGCGTGATGAAGCATCAAAATATATTTTTATGGAGTTTTGATGGATTTTCGATAGAGTTTTGCAAATGGCTTCGCTTGGTGTAAACAGCATCATAAATAGGCGCATTGCCCTAATCAGCGACGGATCAAAGGAAAGTCGGGCCAAAAAGCCAATAGTGCAGACGATATGCAGCAAATTGTAGCTCATAATAAAACACTTAATGAGCTTTATGCTGAGAGTGTGAGAAAAGGTGTGCGAAAGTATGATGGGGGAGGATTTTTAATCACATAATTGCATTAGCTGAAAGTTTTTCAAGTGACAAAGAATCAGAGCTGCGGAATCAGAGCTGCGGCTAGTAAAACATAAAACTGCTTTACAACACTAATCCATAATGTCATGGATTTTGTCTCGGATTAACTAGAAACTTGGTCAAGTTTAGACAATTTAATGAATTTCCCAATTCCAAATATCCTTAAAGATAAGCTAAATATTAAAAAAGTTCATATCATAGTCAACGCCTTAAACTAAGTAATGCAGCTTAAATTTGTTATACAATAAATAATCGTTTCTGCCAGTGTAAGATCCAGGTAATGTCATTTTACTCTAAAAAAGTTCTATATAACTGTCACCATAATTTTATTATATATTTTTTATTTCATACACATCAATCTATATTAATTTTAGCCTGTATTTTTATGGCTGTTGACTTAGTTTTTACACCACGCTAAGCAGTTCTGTGGTCTCCTTGGTTTCTCATTAATGCTTAACATCCAAACATGATTAAGACTCATGCTGTACAATCGGACTCATAAATAATATAAACAAGCCAGGCGAGGAGAACGATAATAATTATTTATTATTTATGAAATATGCACGCAAACAAAATTTTTAATTAAATTCGTACATGCAAACGGCTTGGCTATGGACTCCAATTCCGACTGCGTCTCGGACTTGGAGTTGTTCTTGCAGCGGATTTCTAGAGCGGGTCAAATCGATAGAGGCCAGTTAAATAAATTCAAGACCAGAGCGGTAACAGCCGGACCTGTGCGGACCTGGCGGCAGCCTTTGAGCTGCTCAACGTTGAATGTTGACTGTTGAATGTTTATTAATATTTTGTCATAATTTTCTGTTGCAACCGAAAAAAGATTACAGTTTTATGTTTCAAACGTGAGAAATTATTGGCACTGCACTCGTTATCTGGACAGCTGCAGGTCCCAAGGTGCAAGCGTAGTGACAAGCGACAAGGCAAATATTAAAATATGCCCGCTCTGATAAATCGCCACGCGGTTCAAGTGCACAAGTTTAATTAAAAACGCCTACTGGGTGAAGCGGGGGCAGAGCGCTAGCTGCATTGCTATCAGCAATGCCACAGAGCTTATCAAAATGCAGCCACAACAAATGGGCCACGATCCAAACACAATCCAAAAGTGATCGGAGCAAGGGGCACGAGGCAAGCAGCAGACCGATGCAATTGCAAATTTATTGACACACTCACGCATTAAAATCATTTATGGTACGCATATCACACACACACACACACACACACACCTAGTCAGAGATATCGATAAAGAGACCAGCTTTGAATTTATTAAAATGCAATTTTCACATTGCTGTCGTTCGGGCTAGTTGGGTGTGCGAATGTTGCATGTTTGCCGCTTGTCTTCAGGATTTGATATTTGTTATTTTATTTTATATTATGCTTGTTGTTTTTGTGTTTTTCTGTGCTTTTTTCGGTTTATTTTTCATGTTGCCATTTGCCAAAACGCTCGCTCAACAAGTGCCACAACCGAAATCTGCGGCTGTCTGGGCCTGGTCAGACCGAACAGAGCCGGGCCTAGTTGCATTTGTAGCTGTGGCTGCTGCGTGGCAATACAATCAATTTTTAATAAATTGTAAAATATCTATTTTGTTTTTGCTGTTGTTGTTGTTATTGTTTGATTTTTTGCACCATGTTTGTGTGGTGTGGGCAAAGCGTTTTGCATTTTCATATGAATTTTATTCATTTTTTTAGTGCTTTTATTGCGTGGTATTATTTAATGACAGCTCGTAGATTTTAAAACGTTTTTACATACTGCTTTAAGAATTGACGTCGATGAGGAAGCAATTGAGCAAGTGCCTCCCGGGATGATTATTGCAGCATTTCTGCTAATAAAAGATCACTAAGAAGCTTAAGTTTATTTTAGATAAATTATCGCAAGCATAACTCGAATTAAGCATGTCTTAATGGGCGACAGACTCAATTTAAGCTTCTTAAATAACAAAAGCAACTCTTATGTCTGCATTTAGTACGCTCTTTAAATTATGCAATTAAAACTCAAAATGCTGCTATAACTTAATAGAGCAGTTAAATACGTATTTACTACTTATTAATTTAGATAAATAGTTTCGTTGACTGATCCAATAACTCACTTATTCGCCGCTGAGGCTGATGCTGATGCTGAAGTTGCTTATCAAGTCATGAGATTTCAATGCATTTAATTAGCCATAAAATGTCTTTTGGTATTCGCTTTGGCTATCGCAGTTGGCAAATAAAAATACCTCACTTGTTCAATGTGGATGCCCGATTAATTATGAACAGCTGAAAGCGCGCCATTAACATGAAAAGTCAAATCTATCTAAATATTTGCCATAGGCAACGAGCTCGCCGGGCTCCACTCGCTCCTCCAACTCCAGCATTCAGTTTCACCTCTGTCGGCCTGCCTTCTTCTCTGGCCGGTATTTTGGTCTTGGCCAAATGTGCAAGTTGGCAAGTCATTTTTATCGCCCCGCAGTAATCTGAGCTGCACGAACAAACGGACGCACGGACGGCGGGACAGACAGATGGACCGTACGAAAATATATAACATAGCATCATTTGCTGCGAGGCGCGCGTTTTCTTGTTGTACAATAGTCGATGTACCGCCTCCTACTACCCGTTGACTCCTCTTTCATGGCTGTCTCCTTTTGCTGTTCCCCCCTGTCACACAAAGCTGATGATGCAACTTTATGGGCCACAGCTGATCAAGTGCTAAAGTCAGTGCTGACCCGACCAGTTTTATGGACTGCCATAGAATATGTTGCCAAACAAGTTGCCGTCGGCACAGTCCTTTAACTGGGTCACTATGACAGCGATTTTGCAGTAGGCAGTAGCCTGCAACAGCTAGCAGCAGCAGCCGCAGGAGTCTCCTAATTAATACAAAAGACTTAGGCAACGAACTTGAAGTGTTCTGCAGCGTATTATATATGCTCTTCGGCTGCTTCTGCTGGCTCTACACGGAATTTGATGGCACAGTCTGTAAACAGTATCGTTTAATAAATTAACGTGATATGTGTCATAAAGCCGCAAACGCAGCCTAATTAAAACAAAAGACTTAGGCAACGAACTTGACTGCGGCGCAGTTGATCTTTTATGCTCTGCGGCTGATGTTTTTTACTCTGCATGGAATTGTATTCTTATTTATTTTCTAAGCATTATTTCTATTTATATAAAAATATATTTCCCATTAAGCATCAGACATTACCTAATTAAAACAAAATACTTAGGCAACGAAATTGACGAGCACCTCATTGAAGGGTTTATGCTCTTCAGCTAATGCTGTTTGCTTTGAATTCTATTAGGAAAATAATGGGCAAAATATATAGTCCGAGAAGCCACCTAATTAAAAAAGGACTTAAACAACGAACTTGAAAAGAATCCCAACGAATGAATTACGATCTGAAGCTTAGTCTACATAAAATTTGAATAGACTCATAACAACACATATACTCATAGGAGTTTGATATTCTCTGTGAAAGATAAATGAACACAGCAGCTCTTGCGCATCTATCAAGTACATAAATATGATTACTCTTTGGACACCTTTTATGCGCTGGCAAAGTACCAGCTACTTAGTCGAGCTGCCCTGCCTGAGCATCGACCATGTTGGGCTTCAGCTATGAGTTTGATTGTCATTCGCCGGCGGCACATCCTGCCTGTTCTGTACGGAGTCGACGCTTGTTGGCTTGCAGCTTGTTGTCTTTATTAGCGCTGCGGCCATAAATCAAAGAGCCAGCTCTCTGTGCCGTTGACGGCGACTCACATGTGGCCCTGGCTAGTTGTCCGTCCATCTGTCGGCCACATACACTTTACATGCGCATAGGCTACGTCGCCTGACCGGCAATATTTCAATATTAATCCAACTGCCAGCGCGATGACGAAGTGTGGAGCTAACTTTCCGCTCAAGTATTTGTCTAGTTTAGTCTCAGTTTCAGTTTCAGTTAAAGTTGGGCTTATTTTTCGCCAGGCGCTGCAAATTGTTTACTTGCATGCGGCTTATAAAAAATAGAAAATAAAATAAATCAATTGGTCTTGCTGCTGCCTTTGTTGTTGTTGTTGTTGTTGTTGCTGTTGTTATTGTTATTGTTGTTGTTGCTGGCAGTTAGCTGGGCTATTACTCAATTTTAGCCTGCGGTGCCATCTGTGCCACAGCGTTTCACGAGGAGCCAATAGAAGGCAGCAGAAGGAGATGGAGAAGGAGTAGCCTGGGTTTCTGGTGCCCAACTTGACGGTCCTTATATGGCAAATGCCTACACATGTCTGCTGGATAAGCCGGGCAGAAAAATTAATTGTTCGACTAATGAAGCAGATGCCGTTGAGCTCTGTAATGATGTAACAACAATAAGATCGCAGAGCTTAGATACGAGAAGGAGATGTCAAGATCTGTTGAACTTGCAAGATAAATAAAGTAAACATGAGAAAGATTTGAATGGATGTTTTTGTATATAGAAAATAAAGTATGAATGTGCAGAATGAAATTATGAGAATAATGATTGGATAAATAATAATAATAATAATAATAATAATAATAGTAATAATAGTAATAAAATATAATAAATAAGTATAGTTAGAACTCTCTAAGTAGCTCTTGACAAAAATACATATACAAAACTTAATTCTTAATATAATAATAATTTCCGGCAAATCTTTTATGATAGTTTTTTTTTGTTTCTATTTTAGTGCAAAACTGAACGTAGGACGTAAACAAAGGAATTGACTGCCAAAGACCTAAATATTTCTTAAATGTTGGCATGCCCGCAACATATCAATCGGTAAGTCAATGTCTATGTAAAAGGTTTAGGTAGATCAATCAGAGCTAGTCAGATACAGCATTGATTTAGTTTTGATTGCGATCATTAGATTGAATCAACTGCTTAGTGGAGGCACCCAACTGCGTAGACATGTCAGCTTGCGCTTTATTGTGGCCATGTCTTTAGCCAGAAAAACGAAAAAAAAAAATAAAAAAAAAAGAGAAACAGACTCAAGCGCAGGCTCCAAGCACGAAACTCGAAAAGTAAACGCACGTGCCGCACAAGTGAAACAACTTCATTTGATCATTTGGGCTCAATGCTCGGCTGCGACGGCGTCGTGTAGCACAATTTTTGACATTTTTGTGGCGCCAACAACAACAACAACAATTCCATTGACATGCGTCAAACAACAATCAAAATAGGTTCGTTGTTGTTGTTGTTTGAGAAGTGGAGAGGGGAGGCGACTAGAAAAACGTGCGCTTGCCATGTTGGCCATTCATTATGAACTCGTTTTTTTGGGGGTACGAGAAGCGCCACAAAATCTTTGGGATGTCGGCTGCCAATTAAGCGATACCAAACCAAACTGAGGTGAACTGAGCGAAAAGACATTGAGACAACTCCATATGGCAATGTCGCTGTGCGTTGTTGTTATCGCCAGCTCGAAAATGAGATCTTACCCATTCGCTTATGAAATCCCAGAAATCATTAGCGCCCGCCGCCCGGCACTACGTGACACATTTGCCCAAAAGAGACCCACTGATCCCAGCGCCAGCTGATGATAAACGGAGACCCAAGGAAACAGATCAAGCGAAAAAGTTGTTGTTGTTGTTGTTGTTGTAGATCGCAGTCTGGCAACGCTTATGAATTATTGAGTTGTTTTGTTGCTGAGCGACTCGCCTCTGGCAACTCGTCGAATGCTTTGTAAATTAATTAAAACATTTTTGCATTAACTTCGAATCTCGCCTCCAAATTCGACTCTGACTGTGACTCTGAGTGCTGCCCATTTTTGGTGCTGTTTGCCGAATCGCAGCATTTAGCGAAATCATTTTCGCAAGTAATTTTCGCCAGAGTCTTTTTGGTGCAAATCAAACCGAATAACCGAAACTTGAATGCAAAACAGGCAATTTCTGTGACTGGCGGTGCACTTTTTATTTCGTTTTGTGTGTGTGTGTGTTTTTTTTTTTTTGGTAATAGTTTTAGTTTTTACTTAGTTGCATTTTGTTTTTGTTGTCTTTTGATTTCGTTCGGCCAGGTTATTTGACTTTCAAATGAGCTCGAAGCGAGCTTTAGGCCGCAGTTTTTATGAGTTTTTCCGCAACATTTTTCTAGTGCTGTTGCTGCTGCTGCTGCAGCGATTTTTGTGGCAATTTGCAATGCAAAAATGCCAAACGAAACAAAGAAATGTTTGGCCTGCCAGCAGACGACAATAAAAACCGACAGTTGACTCGTGTTGCAAGATATATTGTGCCTAATGTTGTTGCTGCTGCCGCTGCTGCTGTTGTTGCCGCTGCAACTATTGTAGTTGTTACTGCCTAGTCGCTGACAATTTGATGTGGCACATAAAGCAGCATCGAGCAGCTGCTATGGGCCGATCTCTATACGAATTCAGTGGGTCAACGCATCCCCAAACAAACCGCCAACAAAGGCAACCACAAATATGAATAATTACGAGCACTCTCCGGCCATATAATGGGGCTTACCCGATAATATTTATGGTAGCCGAAATGAAGTTGTTTTGTTGTCGCCATCGGTAGCAGAAATGTGCTTTGCCCATTTACCAAACATATTACCACAACAATGTGCCGAGCATTAACGGTGCTTTCCCATATGCCGCCGCGACCGCAAAGTGGCAAACAAATCGCCCAAATCCGAATGTTGCACACGTTTCAAACCAAACCATATGCGAATGTTGTCAACATTGTTCGCAATGAAATTCACATTCGGCGAGTCGCATATGAAATATTTGTAACACATTAGCGCAAAACGTTTTCTAATGGCCACCACATTTATTACCACTCCGGGGATTTTTCTCCAGCGCTGGCGTGCCCCTACTTTATGTATATGTATATGAAAAACTCATATTTCATTTCTGCCCGCTCATATTTGATTACCATAATTGCACTCGCTGCAGTTAATAGAGTTTTCAAAGTTGAATATGCCACAGGTCGTGGGAGAGTTTAAATTCACGTGCGTGTGTTGAAATGCCAGATAAGTTCCAGGATTATCTGTAACTCATGCTTGGAATCTTTAGATTTTATTTTTAACTTCTTAAAAGCACCTATTTGTCAGAAAATCCCCCACCTTTAAACGCCCATGACTTTATCATACTCATTCTTGATTATATTCCAATTTGATTCACAGGCAAACATAATTTTTTTTTGGAATTATACCATGTATAACCTTTTATAATACACAACTCTTATTCCAAATTTCTTTTCTGGCTTCAGTGTTAACCATTTTTGACAAAAGATATTTATAATATAATATATATTACGGATAAGATACCATTTTCTTTTCATGTCAGCAAGAGTGGAAGTGTTTTAATTAAAGGCGTATAAAATTGAAACCTGATCAGTTTACCGACTTGAGTAAACAATCAAAATAGTTATTAGCCTGTAGCAGCGCTTAGCTTTTATATTAGATTTTCTTTTGTTTTTAAACAACTTTCCCAACATTAGTGCACAGCTTGGCTGCTGAGCGTGTCTCCAATTTCGTTTTAGCTGCGCTATGCACATTTCACATTCCATGGGCCAGCATTGAATGTGGCTTGCATAAATATGAGCATAATTAAATAAATATTTACACACTTTACTTACTTAGTAACTAGCTGAGATTTGTGCCTACCGTTTGCTGCCGCTTGAGGATCGGACTCTCGATGTGACACTTGTTTTCATTTGGCGGGCAAACTTGTTGACCAGCTCAGCTGTTGACCAACCTGTCGCGGCTAACGAAGTCAGGGCTGACACTGATACACAAATGTGGGCTTTAAATAAAGGCCTAAGAGCAGATCGCTTTTAACTGCGTGAATGCAGTGAAATTTTGTGGTGGTTCAATATGAAAACCAATATGCCACCGATTGGGAAAAACAAACAAGATTATTGTTTGCTGATACGAGCGGAGAGTGAGAAATGTTTGGAGCGTGTGATTTGCCGGGCCAAACGTTTTTATGTCAGCTTTTTATTATTGTTGTTTATTGTTTCAATTAAAGCGTAGCAAAGTTTGTCGGAATTATTGTGCAGTGACTGATCGCAGTCGTCGCTGTCGTAGTCACAGTCTTCACAAACCCAATCACAATCACAGTTCCAATCACCGTCTTATTCATTATCAAAATTCCAGCACGCTTTATGACGTTGCTCAGTAGTAGTTGTTGTTGTTGTTGTTGTAGCTGCTGTACTGATTTTTGTCCAGATTATTCATGGATTTCTTTGGGCCGCTTTTAGTTGTTGTTGTCTCTCTTTGGAAATCAGCTTTCAGTTGATTTTCATTATACAATTCTCGTTGCCTCTGTTGTTATTTTTATGGCGCAGAAAAACAAAAACCCTTAAAAAAAAATTGTATAAAAATTAATTTCATTTTTATTATTATTACTTTTATTTTTATTTTCATAAGAAACGCTCATTGTAAGCTACCGTTCCGAAGTGCTTGACATAATTTCAGTGACACAAATCGAGCGAGTCACAAGTCGCAAGTCCCCCCCAGTAGATGAAGTGCGCGGCGTGCTCGTTAATTTGTCAGTCAATAATAATTCGTGTGCGGTTCTCTCTCTCTCTCTCCGTCTCGCTCTCCTGATTCCGGGCTCTTATAATTGTTGAATGATAACTGCAGCCATCGATCAATCCAACCCATAAATCTGTGCGCTAAACGAAGCTCAAGCAACGAGCAACGTGCAACGAGCAGAGAGCTACGGGTAAACGGCAGTCCAAAGACGGCAGCCGGATTGTTTCCCCTGACTGCCAACTGAATTACGGCGACAGAGTGTTTGTATATCTCTTACCCGTCGTGCGACAGCCCAAAGATTTGCCATGTTCCGCACGATCTGCTGTTATGTCCATGTACAGTTGTAGCTCGCCACTCGAATCTGTCCGCGTTGCGGAGCGTTGCAGAAATTGCCAGCTGAGCGCATACTTTTCAAACTAACTTTAATTAAAGTGTGCGCTTTAAATGCCGACATTTGAAATTTATTGGTTTTTTATGCGCAGCATCCTTGTCCATAGCACCTATGTGCCCCCAACTCTGCACCCCAACCAGATTTCCCCGCCATTCATTACATTTTTATTGCAGCATTGTCTGTGTTTATATATCATTTACGAGTTAACTTTTTAAATTTACACGAGAGACAGCTTCAATTGTCCAATAACCAGGTTTTATTATACAAACACATAAAGTGTCACGTTTATTTCTATGATTTAGTACAATTTTTGTTGGCAATTGACAGTCAAAATGATATTATCTCATTAAAGAGGATAATCAGATGACTCATCTAATTGCTCAAGCTGTTAAGGTTATTATCCTAGTTAGAAATACAAGCTTTATCCTAGCCAAAAAGCAAATTGTAAGCTTAGCGGGTAAGCAATGACTAAAATAAGTTCATCTTGTAGTTTGTTTAAACAGAGTACACTGTTCCTTGCAAATTTTAATGCTCTTCCCAGCATATTCAGAAACATATTAAAGTTTAAGTGATTTTTTTTGCGACTATACGCAACTACTGTTTTGACGCTTAAAACTTTACTACCTATCGTATTTTTTATTCTATTATTTTTTTTATACATTTTACTCCAGCTCATCTCCCACTTCCGAAAGAATCCATAACCCTTACAGATTTTCTTAAGCTTTAACAAACCATGTCTTATACAATCATAAAAGCTTTTTACAACACTGCTAACCACATCAGCCCCTCCCAACGTTTGTGGCATAGAAGTTAATTTTTTTATTCTTTTAATTCTTTTTTTTTTTTTACTCTCTACTGCAACACAACTCGCATTTTTAAACGAAGCCATAAGCCTTACCGCTTTTCCTTAGCT